AAAAAAAATACATATACCACATATGCATATAAAACATATATATATATATATATGTATTATATATATGTGTGTATATATATAAATATGTTTATATATGTGTATATATGTATATCATTTCATTATATATGTATGTGTATAATTTTTAAAATTTTATTTTTATTTTTATTATTTTATTTTTATGTTATATTAATTAATATTATTAAATATTAGGGATTGATGATGTGGCAGATGACTAGGATGCCATGTCAGCATTAAATAATATATTTTTTCGTTCAGGGTTTTATTTGCCAATTTTTAAAAGTATAGAGTTTTAATTGCCAATTTTTAAAAGTACAATGTTTTTTTGGATCAAAAAAAAGTACAGGGTTTAAATTGCGACGAGAGAAAAGTACAGGGTTTTAAATGGAATTATCCCTATATATATATAATATTATATGTATGTATTTGATGATGTGAAATCTCCCGTGTTCATGTTACTTTTATGTGGGCTGAATCAAGCCCACTACTATAATTTCCAACCAATCAAATCCACTACTTTAATTTCTGATAAGCGAGCCCACTACTTTCTGGGGGGGGGGGATTTGAAAAACATTAAACTACGTGGCCTATTTCGCACACTGCTTAGAAATATGGGCCAAAACATAAATAAGTATGTAATTCCGGGGCGTTGCTGTTAAACATCTTCATAGTTATTTGTTTCTCGTTTCTTCGTCAGGGCGACGGCGAAGGCGACGGAGGAAGAGGAAAAATGGCGCCTGTAGGTCCTTTACGGTTCTTCTTCATCTTCTTCCTCTTTACAGCTGCTGCATCAGTCTCTTTCAGCGCCATAGCCCACGAACAGTGTGTATCTCAATTCTCTGTTTGTTTGATGATTCGATGATCGATCTGCTCGCTGATCTGATTCGATTTCGTTCTAATTTTGGATCTCAAAAATTCTGAAACGTTGTTTTCGTTCTACCGAGATAGATATGGCGAGATCAGGAGCGTTGGGCGTCGATTTCTTTTGGGTTTCAAGGAAACTCCTCGAGGAAGCAATGTTACTTTCGAGTGCTCCCCCTCTGGTCCTTGTGTTCCGTGCCTTTACTCTGAAAAGGTTCATACTTCCTCCCGAATTTCACTTTTATCAGTGTTAAATTTCCATCGGGTTTGGTTGTTTTTCTGCTATTTGTTGTGTTTTGATATCAGATTTGTAGGGTGTGGTCGATGCTTTGGTGTTTATTACAATTTCGACTTCGATTATAGCGCCGTACGTCTCTTCCCTGATGATTTTAATGTAATCTCGAATTTGGAGTCTGTTCTGGTTAGTTTTATGTCAATCTTTTGTTGATCAGACAAAAGAATTACGATGAGAGGAATCAATAGTTTTAACTGGAAGAGAGTAAAGTTTTTGTTTTTAACTGCTCCTGGGATTGGTCTAAGGTTGTTCTGAATAAGGTTTGTGCCATCTAGCTGCTGGGTTTCCATTTCAGTGTCTTGATGCTAAAGAAAGCAATAGAATTTCTTCTGAGTTCTATATTTTAAATTCCTTTTGTTGCAACGCATGAAAATGCCAATGCAAAAGCACGGGGATTTGGGAGATTCTGACGACGAACACGCTTTTGTTTCTTCAAACTTTCTTCCTTTCAGCATGATCGGGTTTCTGTTATTTGGTCCTTTCTCTAATATTGCCTGTTTGATGGCTGATGGGCTGATGCCCTTTTCCTATTTGAATTATTTATGTAGAACAACGAGAAATACCGTTGCAGTGAAACCGGATATCGTATCCCTTTCAAGTGTAAAGAGATCACAAAAGGCTCACACCCAACAGATGGACAAGAAACTCAACATGATGAAGATGAAATTGCAACAAAATCCAGAAGAAACTTACTGGACGGTTCACCGCCATCAAAACGTAGATCTCAATCTTACACTACTTACAGGAGCTGTGTCCCAAGTGCAAATGAGGAGAAGTTATCAGTCATTGGATTTGAGGTATGGAAACATTCGGATCAACACTTCATTTGATTTTACTGATTTTGGATGAACGATACAAGCTTTGAGGTTGTTGGTTGAGATAAAAGAAAGAAAAGAATACGAAGCGTTCCAAACATTTCGGATATAAATTAGATAATGCAAACTTTGGACAGGGAATGATGCTGGGACTGTTGTTTATCAGTGGAACAATGGTATACGTCAGAAAGAGACGGACAGTTACGATGCCTGGAGTTTCCACGGGGAGATCCCAGGTTAACTCTTCTCGGTTTTAATATTTAAAATCACATTTAACGTCTGAAACCAATGGAGGCGTTTGGCTGTTGAAGAATGAAGTTAGGTTCAGAAGGTTTGCCTTCCTCGAATGATCTGAAAAAGTCGGCAGTTTGTTTGCTGCATCTCATTGAGTAGAGATGTCCATCCCCATCTCTGTCATCGTATGAGTCCTATGAATCCTCAGTTCAATTCAACGCCAAGTTTGATTCTTGGATAGTGTTTCTAGTTTTATCACCATTGTGGTTGATCTTGTTTGGTTCCAAACAGCTGCAATATGTGGGTGTATACGTAAGGGCAGGTCAAGTTTGACACCTTGGGGGGTTGAGGCCAAGATTCAACTGATCAAAGGTTGTCTGAATGTGAGGAGTCACCCACCCAAGAATCTATCTATCTATCTCTCTCTCTCTCTCTCTCTCTCTCTCACACACACACACACACACACACACACACACACAAATATACTATTATATATATATATATATACACACACACACGCACCAAGTACTGATATCTTGAAATGGAAAACTAGGTCACCCCCTAAAGGAGATTTTGTTAGGCCGAGTTGTCTTCCATAAAAGGGCCCATTAGAGGAGTAGTGTATTTGTAATGGGCCTAATGTGGGCCCTTCCATATTCTTACGACTTAAATAGAACGAGGAAGTGTCCTACAACTCAAACGAGGAATAATGTAGAACAAGTAGAAAAAAAAAGTTAAATTATAAATCCAACAAAAATTAAAATCGCCTTTGCTTCAAATTTGTTTTTACGATTTTGCTTTTCTTCGTCTCCCTCGTCTCCTCTCTCTCACTCCCTCTCTTACATTTTCTATTTTTTTTAGAAATATCTTCAGGGAAAAAAAAGTGATTGTCTGATACATCTGTAGAGTCGGAGTTCATGTGATTTCCTTCTCCGATTTGTTTGCATCTCGGAGAAAATTCGAGAAGCTTTTGTGTGATGTTGGGTAGATCGAATCGATAAACGAAAGCGGAGAATCGTTATCCGGATCCGCGTCCCAGAGAATCCGGACAGTCTGTTTGGTAGATTCGGTAGGAGGAAGAACAAGATCGGTGACTTGCGAAATCGGAGAGGAAGATGCCGGCGACCGGAGATTTGGACCGTCAGATCGAGCAGCTGTTGCAGTGCAAGCCGCTGTCGGAAGCGGAGGTGAAGACGCTATGCGATCAGGCGAGGGCGATTCTCGTGGAGGAATGGAACGTTCAACCGGTAAAGTGTCCGGTCACCGTCTGCGGCGACATCCATGGCCAGTTCTACGATCTTCTCGAGCTTTTTCGGATCGGTGGCGCCGCGCCTGATACAAACTATCTCTTCATGGGCGATTATGTAGGTCCGTCTATTGTTGGCTTTTTCGGGTTTTACATTTTCCCAAAGCTTCATACTTCGTTTTGACCCTTGAATTGTTCTTTCTACAGATCTGTTGGGTCATGTAAGATTGGATCTGCTTTACCTTATTTCTCATGTCTAGAGATGATTTTCCCGGAATTGGAAAAAGTTTTGATACAGGTCTTTCGATGACCTCCATAGCTGATTTAGATTGTTTTAGCTGTATCCTTTTGCTAATGCTCTTGCCCTATATGGTAGATTGTTGTCGTTGCTGCTTGTTTCTGAAATTTGATAAGCTTTCCATGTGTTGATTAGATTATGATCCGATAACTCTACTCTTTCCGTCAATAGAAAAATGGCGTTTTGGTAAAGATTCTTGGTACCATTCCCAACAATATGTATTGATTTATTTCCATTTCTTTAATCAAAGGATCCGAATGCATTTTGATTGATGGCTTCATGATTATGAAATTCCTGCCAAAGTTTCTTGAACTAGTTGATTAATATGGTTGCTATGTGTGTATACGCAGATCGTGGATATTATTCTGTGGAGACAGTCACACTCTTGGTTGCCCTGAAAGTTCGGTACAGAGATAGAATCACAATTCTAAGAGGGAATCATGAAAGCCGGCAAATCACCCAAGTGTAAGAATTGTCTCGTTGGCTAGTTCGTATTCTCAATCTTTTGAGGAAACTATCCAAATTCTGTTGCTCAATAGCCAGCAATATGTCACGCTGACGTTACTTGTGGGTCTTGTTCTCAGGGTCGAGTTTTTATGCCTTTCCTTGTGCTCTTTGCAAAGGTTGTTTGATATTTTTCTTCGTGGTATTTCATTCAGGTACGGGTTTTATGATGAATGTTTGAGGAAATATGGAAATGCAAACGTCTGGAAGTATTTCACCGACCTTTTCGACTATCTTCCTCTCACCGCTCTCATCGAGAGTCAGGTAATACTTAGGCCTAACTGTGTCATTTATCTCCGCTGTACCTTTTCAACTCGCTAATGATTCCATTCCCGTAGGTTTTCTGTTTACACGGAGGACTATCGCCTTCTCTAGACACACTCGATAACATCCGAGCCTTAGACCGCATTCAGGAGGTGGGTCATTCATTCATTCTTTGTTAGATCGAAATCAAACCCAAGCTGGGCCAGAGCCATGCTTGATCTGACACAATATCCTCCCATTATTACACCCTCTAGGTTCCGCACGAAGGGCCAATGTGTGACCTTCTCTGGTCCGACCCAGATGACCGTTGTGGCTGGGGAATTTCCCCACGTGGCGCGGGCTACACTTTTGGTCAGGATATTGCCACTCAGTTCAACCACAAGAATGGACTCACTCTGATATCCAGAGCTCATCAGCTTGTCATGGAGGGATATAACTGGTGTCAGGTAAAACATGGTACCGGACCATCAGGACCATCTATCCTCCTCCCTCATTCAGTTCCTAAACTCTTTTACTACTGTCGGCAGGACAAGAACGTTGTGACTGTATTCAGTGCCCCAAACTATTGTTACCGGTGCGGGAACATGGCTGCAATCCTCGAGATCGGAGAGAACATGGAGCAGAATTTCCTTCAGTTCGATCCAGCACCTCGTCAGATTGAGCCCGAAACCACACGCAAAACCCCAGATTATTTTTTGTGAACTCTTTGGAAATCCATCACTAGCTTTTCTTTGTTCTTTTTTGTAGATGTCTGTGGAGGTTGAGGTTCAAACTTTAATGGGTTTTCTAATCGAAACAATGATTCAGAATTTTTTCGTCCTCTGTTTCACTTCTTTCACTGTGCCCAGGTGCTTAGGAAATCAGACAGGAAGACCCTCAAAAGAGTTTGGAAACCGTAAAAGCAAGCAAACAGATTCAGATCCTCGGGCACGTAAGGGTAGTTTTTCAGGTATGGGTGTTTTTAACCGAGATCCGCCTGTTTTCGGGTACCCGATCTCATGGATATTCGGATCTCCGGTATTCGATATGAACAAGATTGAAAACACGCTCAACCAAGTCAGAAACTCGAACCGTTTGGGTTCGGGTTTCTTCAAACCACGACGGATTATCTCTATTGCGATCGTGAAACCCTATGACAAAGTCGTGATGGAGATTCAGGGTGAGCCGTTTGGACGGTGGAGACCGTAGCGGACAAACCGAATCTAACAAGACAGAGGAGCTGCCACGGCACGTACTTAACGGCGAGCAACACGGCGTTTCTGTTGGGGATGACGGGGGAGAAGGTGATCCAAACGGCGTCGTATAGCAAGCCCATACACGGCCCGAAGCGACGGGTTTCAGGTGAAGCTGACGTCATGGTGCGGTACATAGCTGAGAGCTAACGGAGGATCACGGCCGTGGAGAAACTCCACTCCGTTACACACGACGAGTCTCTCACGTCCAAGACCAAGGGCTGGATTCTCTTGGGCGTTATTATCGTTAACGGAGATGCCGGCACTATTTAAAATCAAACTTCATGGCACTAAGCATTTCATCATTTTCTATTATTTTCGATTTTCTAACAGATATTCAACCAATATGTAGGCTTTTATATTAGTACAAGCCTCTAATAGATATTCCTGTCCGTGTTTTCTTTTTCCCTTTTATTACGGGCAAGAGAACACTAAGAGAGATACACGTGGCACGCGGTGAGTGGTTGGTGAGTGACCAGGAAGAATATGCATGTACATATACTGATCAGTTGAACAATTAGGATAATCATAATTGACACGTTTCTCTCACGATTGACGCGGGAAAAGACGGGGAATACACGTAAACACTAATACAGCCGCAGTCTTTATTTGCAGGCTATGCTGACGTGGAATTAAAGACGGGGTCAACCGGTCAACCAAGTCGTCTTCTTACATAACCTAAAACTGGTCTAAAACCCCGCCCACGTCAGCCGCGTGCCGCCTTAGACTAGTTGCACTTGCACAGTTATATAAATGCACGACACATCTCACTTTTTTTTTGTATAGTAATTGTTTACAGAAGACGAGCTCCGACCAAAGGGAAGAAAGAACCAGACATGGAGTTTTTCCAGAAAGCCAAAGCGGTTCGGCTGCATAGTTTGCACGACAAGTATCTGACGGCGGATGAAGACGAAGAGACAGTGAGTCAGGACAGAAACGGTTCCTCCAAGAACGCCCGGTGGATCGTCGAGCCGGTTCGAGATTCCTTCCACGTCATCAGACTCAGGAGCTGCCACGGCATGTACCTCACCGCCTCGAACGAGCGGTTCCTGCTCGGCGCAACCGGACGTAAGGTGGTTCAGTCGAAGCCGAGCCGGCTCCGGAGGGCTCGAAGGTCAAGCTCAGGACGAGATACGGGAAATTCCTCAGAGCCAACGGCGGAATTCCGCCGTGGAGAAATTCCGTCACTCACGACGCGCCTCACAGTACGGCGACTCAGGACTGGATCTTGTGGGATGTTGATGTTGTCGAGATTCTTGTGGACCCGCGCCCAAAGATAGCGGCTCCGGAGCCTCCGCCGCCGCCTCGCCGGAGGCTTTCGGATTCTCCGCCGTCGATATCGCACTCTGGCTCGAGCACTCCTTCCTCTGCTTCAGATGAATCCGACCATTTCCCCGGCCATGAGGTGAGTACTGTCAAACTATTTCCAATAAATTAATAATACCAAATTTCTAAATTTAAGAAAAATATTGTACATAGAAACCAATCAAAATCATATATATAAAAAAAAAAAAACTTGAATCCGAAATCCCTGATTAGGTCTTCTAGATTATAGATTAGCGTCTATAATCATCTTTAGTTATAAACTTATCTCTTCTTTGGGTGTTTTAGTTTGACGAGTCAACCGAGTCACGGCCCAACTCGCCGCCAAAATCGGAAGGGAGGACAATATACTACCACATGGCGGACGAGACAGGAAACGTGGAAGGCGAAACGACCGTCGGATACGCTTTCACGTTCAAAGGAAACAGCGTGGAGGAACTGACGCAGGCACTGAGGGAAGAAACTAGCATGGACGATGTCGTCGTGTGCACGAGGAGTCCCTTAAACGGCAAGCTGTTTCCCCTTCGTTTGCAACTTCCTCCCAACATCAGCACAATGCATGTCGTTCTCCTCCCCGCGGCTTCAAGACGTCATTGAGTCCTTGTTTCTTGAATTCATCAGCGGCACGAGAATTCGCTTCAGGGAATTAAGTTAGAACCGATCATCGCATTTCCTCTATTTCCGGAGCATAGATTTATTCTTTTATTTATTTATTTTTTGAAAACCAGAATATGTTTATATACATTATTATATGGCCGAGGGGTCACGGCTTCCATGCATAAAATATTTCTGTAAATAATGTATTTGTTTGTAAAAAACCATGAGTGGAGATTCCTATTATTACAACATCGGACTTGAAGCTCTTATTATTTTCTTTTAGGACTTTCTATTGCAAGTGTGATGATGAGTTTTGGATCTGTCATTGTTTCAGTCAGAAGGGTTGTCTGAATTTCTCGATCTTCCTCAAAAGCTCATCGACCTTCAACCCCACGACTCGGTCTAGCTCTTGACCCCTTTTCACGAATACCATGGCCGGCAACGTGTGAACGTTGAACTGCATGGCCACGCTCTGCAACCCCCACAAAACGTATTTTAGTATATGAAACCATAATCTATTAAAGCATATATTATCATAATATATATGACATATGGTGAGGAAATTAAGAGAGTAGGAGACTTACCATTAACACGTCAACGTCGATCTTCACGAACTCGACATCGGTGTACTTAGCAGCAAACTCTTCGAGCTTCGGCTCGAGTGACTTGCACGGTCCGCACCATTTGGCCGTGAAGTCGATCACCAGCTGCAATCACGAGTACAGAACCTTTTATTATTAGATTGAACGAAAACCAATATACAAATACCGTTCGGATCACTCTCGGAAACTGCGATTACGTACGAGCTTGTCGGTGTCTTTTAGAGCGTTGAGCCGAGCCCTCCACTGGCTTTTGTTCTTGATTTCTGCAACCCGGGGCTTGTCCTCGACAAAAGGGGAACCCTCCAGCTCAAAAGGAGTCTTCCATATCTGCTTCTTGGGTTGGAAATCGGTGAAGTGGAACCTCTGGTCAGGCGAAGAAACGTTAGCTCCCATAGTAAAAGAAGAAGAGAGACGCGCTCTCACAACAAGCTTAAGGCTATAAGGTGAGGCCATGAGGGGCTTTTATAAGGCGACACACGATCAGTAATTAATTATTTTTTTATTGTATATAATATATTTAACCGATTAACACAAGGTTCGAATCGAATAATAACATGAGAGGAAACGTCCGTTGCATTAAGAGAGGTAAAAACATCAAAAGAGATTCGCCCACTTATTTACAAAAGATATATTTGAACTTTATTTCACGGCCGTCAGAAGAAGAATCACAATCCTCCGTTACAATATTCTTTTTCGTTTTTATTATTTGGTGGGATTGCCCTATTTTAATTGCCCATTTGTTACAAAATTGAAAACAATATCGCCCACGCTTAGATGCAATGAACGGTGGAATATTTCCAACAAGTAGCAGCACCAAGTTCTAACCTTAAAAATACTTATATTCTATATAAAGAAAATTTTATATTCGCCCACTTATTTATAAAAGACAAATGTATGTTTTCAAATTTTCAAACCAATTTATTTTCTATAATTGTGCTGATGTAGACCCTATCTATCTGTGTTTTCTTATGTTGTAATAGAAACAGAGTGTTTTCGCATCTTTGATCAGGTAATAAGAGGAGGAGGAAGGTGTTTTCGTGTTACAACGGCAAAGGTAAATCCACTTCCACAGTAAACTTCGATGTCCTTAATCTGCTCATATCCGCTTCCAAGATTCACCACTTGAGGTTTTGTCCGATCAGCGGCACTTCCATGGCCGAGCTGACCATGTTCTCCCCATCCCCATGTCCTCACTTCCCCATTCTCTGCAACTCCCAAACCTCGTATTAAGGTTGTTGTTTGATGGAATGGAGTATAGCATCATGTGAGGAGAACAGAGATGTGTCTGGCCATTACCTGTTACTGCAGCAGAATGCTCTGCCCCGGCCGCGATTTTCAGAACTCTAAGACCTTCAAAGTCCGGAACTTTCTCCAAGATAGCTTCCGAGGAATCCGTTGGCTTCCCTGGTTGGTGGTTAAGGGTTTTGCCGAGCATGAAAACCTCGCCGTCACCTGTTTAAGAAATGCCCGTTTTGACACGAATGAATCGGACCGGTGAGAGTTGGGAGATGCAATTTATTATAGACAAGGTTACCGGTTAGTTGTAGGGCATGGTTCCATCCGAGGGCTATTTCACGGAAAGATACGGCCGAATCCAAACGCTGAGGGGTTCGAGCATCGGTAGTGCAGCCTTGAAACCCTCTTCCCCAAGTGAACAACTCTCCATTAGCTGGTCAAGTACAACAGGAGCATGGTTAAACAAGAACAGAGAGATCTTTTAAGAAGAGTACACTAATGTCCATGAACATAAAACGAGGGGTTAAACCAGATAGTGCTGCACTATGATCTCCATTAGCTGAGATCCGAACAATCTCAACACCTTCTAGCCCCGATACCACTCGCGGAAGATTAATCGATTTCGTTAGGTCAGATGAGACACCGAGCTGGCCACGCTTTCCAGACCCAAATGCATGTACCTGATTCCCGGGGAAACCTGTGTGTCAAATGACAACCTATTCTCTGATGAATCAATGTCTATCATATAAAATCGAAAAATCATATTTCAAGCCTTTTTGCTTCGACCCAATAATTCTAACTGGTTAGAGATTAACCTGTCGACAAGACTAGGGAGTGTCTCATCCCACAAGCTACCATCTTCACATGTTTGTTGGCAAAATACGAAACTTTAGCTGGATAACAATGTGACGTATTGTCGCTGTGACCTAACTGACCGAACGAGCCATCGCCACAGGTGAAAAGGCTACTGGTGTCTACAAATTCAAATGGAGTGACATAAACAAGTGATCTTATCGAAGCGGTTGAAACAGCTGTACGGTATGACAGAACGTACCGGAGACAAAACCAGAATGACTCCATCCGGCAGCAACATGAGTTATCACGCAGTCATGGAAGAAGGAAACAGGCTTTGGAGACAAGCTGTTTAGCGTGTCGCCATGCCCTAACTGACCAGAAGTTCCTCTTCCCCATGTCAATACCTTACCACCTGCAATTCGAATACATAAAGACACCATCTATAAGCCCGGAAGTGCTGAAAGTTGCAGGCTTTTGTATAATGTTTCAACGGAACTTCAATTCGAATACATAAAGGCACCATCTATCATCGCTTTCCTCGCAAGTTATTGATCCATAACCATGGACCATTAGTTCATAAGGTCACTAACAAGCTCTGACATGGAATCAGACCACAACACATTACAATCAGATATTGAAATTTCTAAGAGAGAGAGAGAGAGAGAGAGAGGTACCGGAGGTCAAGGCGATGACGTGAGCGCCGCCGCAAGCGAGCATGGATATGGGGCCGAGCGACGTCAGCGAAGGGAGGCGGAGGAGCTGTGGAAGATGCTCGTCCTCCAGCCTCCACGTCCCCAACTGGCCGTCCGTTCCCGCACCCCAGCTCCAAATTTCTTCTTCTTCCGCCGCCGCCGTCGCCGTCGCCGTCGCTATCTCTTGTCTGGATTCATCGACTGCTCCGTCTCGTTCGGACATGGTCGACCACCGGCCGATTCCAAACCGGCAGATGCAGGAATCCCTAAGTACGGAAACTCGAAAAGCCCGAGTACTTCCACCGGATTTCGTCTTGTCCTGTTCGGTTTAGGAATTGTACTTGATCCGACATCTAGATTCATTCGGGGTTGTAGTTTAACAAAGCATTCATTGGTTACATTAGAAAAAAAAATATTTTTTTCTTCGCGATAAACGAAGCCCAATAAGGCCCGTAATGAGTTGTGAGATCATCCGGCCCATTAAGCATGATTGGGCTTCAATTCTTGGTGGACAGATTGGAAACCCAATTGCAAAATACTTTGGTCCGTTGAATCCAAAACCGGATTTGACCCAAAACGTAGACAGCGACTTACCGATGTAATTCCATTTATAGAACCGACGCCAAAATTTATGTTTTTCAAAACACTTGTTTTTTTTTTTCTTTTCATTTTTTATTTTTTTTAAATGCCAGATGGCACCTAGAGTCCCCCCAAACACTTCAGTGTTCGTTAAATACGAAATCATTGATATAGAGACATATGGCTCATTTCAATGATAAGAAACACAGACAATGAAGCGATTAGGGGAACTCAAGGGGACTTCTGACTCTTTTTGCTCAGTGGCCATTCTACGCAACAATGCTGCAGCAAGTGCATATACATATATACAATGCACAAAAGGGTTTATTCTTCCTTTGCTGCAGAATTTTCTTGATGGACCATCAAAGATGCTCGATCGATAATTCAGAACGTGTCAAAAAAAAAACTGAAGAAACTGAAGATGAACATAGTCGGCATTCCGGGCTTCATGAGATTTGGACAGAATATATCTCCAGCAAGATGCTCAATCGAGATCTCCGGATCGTGTATGATCAGTTTCTCCACACGGCCTTATTCGGGTTCATATCTTCCTTTTTTCCTCTTCACATTCGCATATGTACATATATATTGATACGGATCAATGTTTTGGCATAAAACACAGACAAATATACGAGTGAAATACCCATACAAGATGTCACAAAGGGTATCATATGGTGCTTCATGTTCACATTAGGAACAGAATGATTTTGATATAATTTACAAAATGCTATAAGAAGAACCTAGTCGGAGTTTGTGTATATACGCGCATGTGTACGTATATTCCTTGTGAAAAGTGTTTGGTCGGTTTTATTCTCTTTTACCCCTTTAGCTCATGTTTTCGTCCAGGTTCGCATGTTTTCTTGAGCTTATGTGCTTATAAATAGAAATGCCTCTTGCACTACATCTTCTCACTCCCAAAAGAAAATTTTGATTCGTATATGTATAATAAAATATGATTTATGTATGCTATTTTCATAAAATAATTATTATTTTCTATTCGGAATTGTATCATTTTGATCGGATCTCTCCTAGAGTTCCTCTGAACACTTCACTGGGTTCGATTTTTGTTATTGTCACAAACCCCACTGAAGTGTTTGGGGGAACTCCGGGCGTCATTTGATAATTTCAATAAGCCCGATTGATGGCTATATATTATATAAATCACATAACATTACACACTAAATGCTACCAAAAAGGTTATGTCATTCTAGTAATTTTCTTCTTCTTCTTCTTGTGGGGTTTTATACCATATTGCATATATATATATATACTAAATTAATTTATCTTTTTTCCTAATATTGTTTGTTTTGGTTTTATTTTTTATTTTATTTTTTTGGAAAAATATGAAAAAATTTCACCAATTTTTTTCTTTTATTTAAAAATCTTTCCATAATTTCAGTTGTTGATTACTCAAGAATAATGGCCTCTCCCTCTTTCATATCCTTCCCATATTTTGTGAGTCATCCTAATCTAAGCACTCAAAACCTAAATGTAATAGACAAATATATAATAAAAAAATAATGGAAATTTATAAACCATAATGTTAATAAATTTATCAAAATTCTGATTTAGTGATTTTATATAAATGTCTTGAAGAATCAATAGATTGATCTAACTTCCCATCATGTTGATAGAAAAACAAATATTCTTTTGGAAATCTCTTTTTTTTTTCAGATGCTCCTATTATATATGTTTCTTTTCACTTGCAAAAATTCCTTCGCGATTTAGATTCGAATCTCTACTTGGAAAAAAATTACCTAGATTTCTCATAACCTCCGTGAGATATAGTTGAGACAAAAATCTGATGAATTTCTAGATTATAAAAAAAATGTATATCGATTCGATGAATATACTTGTTTACAAAGAAAATCATAATATATATATATATATATGCGCACACGGAAGTTCATGCACATAAATATGTTTTATTTGATACTAATTTCGGGGAGATAGAATATATTGTGTATTTTTAGGGAAGTATACAAGATTGTTCGCTGGAGCACAACACATGAAAATGTCGGTTCCCAAAGTCCAACTAAGGTTGCGGCATATATATACCACACTAAACAATAGCAAACGACCGTTGACACACACAAATATATATATATATATGTGTATATATATATATATTTACACATATATATATATTTGTATGCATTTTGCAACGAAAGATCGTTTCCGATTGGGAGTGACTACTTAATTAGAGAATGAAACCACCATGCACATGACGGCCACATAGGTGCCATATATAGACAACTCTTCTCTGCATGTAATTATTAATTTTGGTACCCAAAATTAATATATATGTATATACACACATAAATGCTCTTTTGCTTTCTGGTTTTTAAATCAAAGAAAATGCATGCTGGCATCTAAGAAATGTTACAAAAAAAAAATCCCCAAATTAAGTGTATACAAATAAAAAAATCAATAAAGAAAAAGGGGGAGGGGGAATCCAGCAGATCTGAAAAAAAAAGGATTACATGGAGGATGTGCACATGATCCCATGAAGATTCTTCACATAATTAAATGCATGATGGCGCATATATTGCAAAGCTTGATCTCCCTCAATCATTTTGTTGTCGACTTTTAAATATGTAAATATATATATATATATATATATCTCTTCCAGGATTTCACATTGGTCTTCCCCTAATTCAAAAATGCTATTAATGCACTTGTAAATTGCCCATTTATGGAATTAAACTTTTCTCCGTTTAAATTATATTCAATGAGTTATCATACACATATAGAAGGATTTTTTAAATCAAAATTATTGTTCGTTGGAGTAATTCAACATTCATGTTGGCTTGGGACAGAGATCGAGACGTGGAGTGTCTCTGAAACTTTTACAAATGGAACATCGTGGAGATGCGAGAGGGGAGTGGATGATACTAATTCCTCACTTTTAAAATAAACAATATTTACATTATTCAATTTCAAAATATATAAATTTTCATAAGATGATATGATAACCAATTTCGAAAGTTGGTCTGTCAAGGCAATCTATATAGGAGTTTTTTTTTTTTTTGTTTACATATGTGACGTAACTGAATACCACTCTACATTCTACGTTGCTGTAATTTTTTGCTTAAAAAATAAATAATTTTTAAAATGTTGTGTCAGAACGCTGAATAAGATGGTAAAAAAAACAGTAAACAGTAATGGAAACAGTAAAAAGTTGAAGAAAGTCTTTATCTGCGTCAGACGAAAACACCGTACGTCTTACGTCAGGTCTCGTGATTATAGCATTAACTCGGAAACATAAATCTGGGGTTTTCCCCAATGGATACGCGGTCAATGATGAAATATGCAGAATCCTGAAATATATATATATATATATATGTATAGAAAATGGGTTATAATATACGTCCAAGATATACATTAAATACCCCTTTTTTACCACATCTCGTCATGACAACTCCTCGGTAATAATTGGGCAGACAACGTCGGATAGATTTCATAGTTTCGAAACATTGCATGAGCTTTCCCCCAGAGCTTAGGCTAAATTTAAGGAAAAGGGTAAAAGTCCACGGCGTTCAGCTGAACTGTGGCTGGGGAAGCCACCGCCAAAATCCAGACTGGTCGACGTCGATGTTGCAGAACATGTTGCTGATGCTGTTCTCGTCTTTAACCCCCGACGATGAGCCCTGGAAGAACTGCATGGTCGTGGCTGTGGTGGCGGTGGCCGTCGCTCCGGCGGAAGATGGCGGGAAGAAATGTATTCCGGTCGATGGCGGTGGCTTAGCGGCCAACGGGCTGTCGATATCCGGCGGAGCCGCCGAGATGTCCAATCCTATGTTGCTGGAACTGTTGTCACTTCTGTTACTGCAAGACCCTTCTGTTTCCTTGTTCAAGTTGATTGATTCTGTCGGTTCCCGGCTTTTCAGTGCCACTAACTGCAAACAAACGCGGGATTTGATCTCAACCCATCGATAAAAAAAATAGCTAAGATTTTTATTTTTTTACGAGATTCGACTTCAAAATTTTCAAAATAAAATCAAATATTTAGTTACAAATACATACATACATACATACATACATATTAAGCATGACTTTTTACTGCGATGAGATATCACAGACAGAATCGTCAACATGTGAGTCACTCAAGCAGTGATATTTGAATTAATCAATCAATCAAAACATCCATTTTAATCGTTTCTGGATCGGAGAAAAAGGGTACGGAGAAAAGGAAGTCCAAAAAGTCGCAAACCATTTAAAGTTTGAAAGGAACCAGTAATCAATATACTTTCCCATATATATTAACATTTTTTTTCACCAAATCGTCAAAAAAAAAAAAAACAAATCAGGAGCTCAATTCTTTACCTGAGCGTGCATTTCTTGATTCTGGGCTCTGAGAATCTCGTTCTCAGCTTTGAGATTCTCAAATTGTCGTCTGAGGACATCGTAGTCTTTCTCGAGCTGTTTGGTTTTCCAGCGAGCTCTTCTGTTCTGGAACCAAATCGCGACCTGTCTGGGCTGAAGATTCAAAGTCTTGGCGAGCTGCATTTTTCTCTCGGGTTCGAGTTTGTTTCCGATCTCGAAGCTCTTCTCTAGTGCTTTCACTTGCTCCACGCTCAGCCTTCTCTTCTTCTCTCCTATCTGCGTCGACCCATCGTCCGATAACTCTTCTTCTCCGTTCGCGTTTCCAGTTTCGACATCGCAACAGCCTTCCAAGTTGCTCGTGCTCCCTGAATATGTCGTCATGTGCGATCTTTTCCCAAGAAACGAAGAAACTCCTGCAAAAATCAAGAATGGGTCGCAGTCCACAGCAAAAAAAATACCATGACAGGAGACTGGAGAGAGAGAGGAAAAGCGTGTATATAAGAGTATATATGTATGCACAGATACCATGGAAGTCTTGTGGGAGACTGCAAGAGGGGAGAAGAGGAGGAGGCTGGGGATGACGATCGTTTTCGTGAGGGTTTTGGAACATGAAATTTGCGGGGAAGAAAGCCATGGCATTGTTACAAGACATGTTTCTCTGTTTCTCAAAACTTTGGTCGTTTCTCTGTATTTTCTTCTCCCTCCGATCCGTCTATCTGCAGAGCCTTGATCTTCTCGGTGGCATCACTTGAAAACTGTGTAACTCCTATTCTGATACAGACCCATTATTTATCTGAGTCTTTAAAAGGAAGCCAAGAAAGAAAAGAAAAGCTGAAAACTTTAGATAAGAGATGAAGAGGATTGGCCAAATGAATTGTCTTAGACTATTCCACTTTTAGGCTCAAAGCTACGGAAGAAATTTGGTATTCTTTTTCTTGTCTTCTGTTTATATATTTATATATATATATATATACAGAGAGAGAGAGAGAGAGAGATGGTTAATGGTCCTAATAGTTTTTGCCTCTCTATATGATCAAATGGCTATCTTTATAATAAAAAAAACACCCTCTTCGTAGTTTCACAGAATAAAAAAATGTTTTTACCCGCTTTGAAAAGGTGAAATTAATCAACGAAGTGTGTCGATTGTGGGTGGGGTCCAATTTACAATGTCACCAACTAATGGAGACAATACTAATCAAGTTTGTAGTACTACCACTACAGGAGTATACATACTTGAGATGGAATTTATAATCTAAATATCTAGAATTTATATATATATATATATATATATGATTTAGGAGTTTATTCGAAATACCGGGAATTTGTCTGAACCTTCAATGTATTTCGACCCAAATATTATCATACTTATTTTCTCTGTCAGAATGTACATACAGCCTGGTGCAATAATGTATGTGTGTGTATATATATGCAACATTCGGCTCCTTGAAAACCATTGAATTAATTATTAAATCCATTAAGAACGGGATATTAATTGGACGTTTAGAAATTTGTACATCTCGGCTACATCCATCACGAGATTCAAGACCCAACGGACGAATCGTGAAATTGGTAAAACGGGGTATCGGACATGGAATGACGGGCGAGAATCTAAAATGCGTGTCCGGTTACAAATGGAAAGGATCGATCACTAAATATATGTATAAGAAAGCCACGTGTAATTTACTATATTCTATACCCTTGAGTGCGTGGATGTATGGAATAACATGTTGTGTTTCTTCGGACCAATATTTCATATATATCGACAGTCAGGTATTTTATGTACAAAAGTTACCTCGTACAAGAAAGGGAAAAAAATAATACACTTCACGCGCATTTGTGAACCCTAGCTACTCGGCCTTTCAAAGTAAGTGAGAGAGAAAAAAAAATCCTCTCGTTTTTTTTTTTTGTCTTGGATGGAGAAACCGGTTCAATAGTGTGTGAAATCGGGGGTTATATACTAAACCGGAGCAGATAGAGCAGAACCGGTCGGACCGGGTTGGGGTGGGGGGAATCTAGTTCTATAGAGGAATGGGGCCAATAGAGTGGGAGGGTACAGAGGGTTTGCTACCTAACCCACCAACACATATCGTGCTTTCCGACGAACCTCCTCTCCCGTTTCCATCTCTTCTTCTTTTTTATTATATATATATATATATATATTATATAAAGAAATCTGCAGCTTCTCAGTTTGGTGGGCCCCATTGCTCTTGTCCATCCATCTGTATTATTGAATTTGAAATCCCTAGTAGTGAGTATATATGTATATGCATGGGCCTTTTCCTCGAGAATGTTTGCATGCATGGGGTTTATGGACGTATACGAAGTGAACGTTTTGAAAATGTAAAGATGCCACAGAAAATGAGTAACCATAACACGAATCCCTCACATCGAACTATACAAAAATCCCACAAATACGAGGCTAAATATGTAGAATTAATGGGCAGTTTCCATTAGATGGTGAGTTTCAGGGCTTAAATAAGATGAAAACGACAATATACATACATACACACACATATACAATATATATATATATATATATATGTATGTGGACGTAGATTGAGTGTGAGAGAGTGATAAGGAAAGATGGTGTGGGGGGTATTTAGGGTTAAGGAAAAGACCAAACAAAAACGCTGTTGGATTAGCCCCACGAAAGAGCTGTAATCTATTGTCCCATTCCCTTCTTCTTCTTCTTCTATTCGTTTTTCTTAATCTTGTCCCCCCGACATCTCATATACTCTTTACGGTCCAAGGTTCCATCTATCTTCTCTTCCTCACCCAATAGCACACCACAACCCCAGCCTTTTTAAAATTTCTTATTCCTTTCACAACCAATACGAGACATGATGATGCATCGATCATTTCGATCGTTCGTGCTACATAATTAAACCCTTTTATATATATATATATATATATATATACACATTTCATTCGGTTATTACCAAGAGTCTTGTAATTTATATCATTCGTAAATGAAACGTGGCTCATCTACTATAGTTCATCAATATGAGTTTTGTGTTTTTTGTTGTTGGAAGGAAGATATAAACCCCTCATCATAGGCTGCTGAAAATGTGGAGAATACGTACGGTTCTGCCTTTTTTTCGTTGATTGAATTAAATAACAATAAATATTATGTTAAAAAAACAACTCAATCAGAACATAACTCAAATAAAAAAAAAATTAAGTGGGCCCATGACAAGATTTTAAGTGGTCGAGACTCGGGTCATGTAGCCACAGGCGCAGTACACTGTCCCGAATAAAATTCATATGACGTCGTAACAGTCGCTTTGTAATTTTCTTCCGTCACCATTTTTTCGCCATTAAGCCTTCCAGTTTAATTAACGTCATAAATGTGACACGTGTATACACATGACAGTATACGTACACATACGTGTATATATATATATGTGTGTGTGAAAAATCAAAATGAGTGCGAGGCCAACACAAACTTCTGGGAACAATGAATTTTTTTTTTTTTATCTAATTTACAAAAACAAAATGGAAGTTAGTTATTTAAAAATGCTATTGTATCCCACATCGAAATTTTGGCATGATTGATTCTTTTAAAAATGGACCCATTTGGTGCAGAATTCAAAGCGGAGCCCCACACTCAGTTCGCATAATCAATTTAAGAGGAAATTATGAGAAAACTTGCTTGAAAACCAACGCAGCTCAAACATTTTTTTACATTTTTTATTTATTTATTAAAACTATTAAAGGTTTTATTAGCTTAAATTGTTATTTATTAAATGATTCAGACCCCCAATTAGAAGAGGAGCTTTTTGTGGTATCATATATCACTCCATATATAAATAATTTTAGTAAATATTTTAAATAGGGAAAATCATATTTAGTTATCATCTTAGTGCAAATTAACTTTTAAAAAAATTCAAAAGTGTAGTTGCAAAATAATACAATACTAATTGAATTTGTATCCGATAACAAAATTTATTTCACCATTAAGAAAAACATAACAAACGTTTTACTAGCGTGGAATAATAAAAAAGGAAAATTAAGAGGAATTTATAAATGCTCCGATCCTGAACAACTAATAAAAAATATTTTTTACCTTTACAAAAAGGCGAAAGGAATGGAAAAAAAAAGGAGAAGAAATCAGAGACATTTTATTAAATATTTACCTAAAAACTAAATTTGAATAACAACGACATTTACAAATGATGATGTGTTAAGAATTGTTTAAATGGTTTTGATATGAAATTTAAAATAAAACATCAATAAGAGTTTGGTGTTTGTAGATTGGATTTTGATTTGTGATTTAGGGTAAATCAAGATGTCACGATAATATTTTTAAATTTTCATCCTGGGAAATGGAATTCGTATAAAGTGTGTTCCTGAAAACTATTCTTCAACTACCTGTCCCCTTTTGTCTTTCCATACCTTTTCACTACACTTATTTCCTCCTTTTATATACATATATAATTATTTAGTGTATACTTTTTTATAATATAGTATCCTGTATCGAATACCAGACTAATCCCAGAACTGTAGATAAATCATGTGATTGGAAGTACGCTCCCTTCTTCAAATTTAGGCTCAAACTCAGAACGAAAAATTCCTTTACGTTTCGTTTCAGCAATTGATCTATCCAAATTGTATTATTTAGCGTATACTTAAATTTAAATCAGTGACGATTTTTTTTAGTAGAATTCTATTTATAAAAAAATAAAATGTTTAATACAAAACATAAAAAACTTAATTATATGTAAATATAAAAACGTAAATTCTTTAATAATTCTAATAATTAAAAACCTTGAGTGAAAACGACCGACATCGGTTGCCGGTTTAGTTTTGCTCAGATTGTGATATATATATATATATATCATGCATAGATATCAATCTTTATAAAAAATAAAAAATAATAAAATAATAAAATTGGTGCTTTTGTTTTAATGATGACTCAGCCTACCTGTCACCATATACAGTGTTCACTAATGGGCCTTTTCAAGTGATCGATTTGCAAATTCAGGCCCAAATCAATCGCGCAGGCCTTAATGCGATGCTATACTCATATGGGCCCAAATAATAATATTCATCTAAATAGTTGGGATTTATTTTTATAAATAAAATTATGATATTATTTGATTTTTCCATTAGAGAAATTAAATAATTATATTGTATCGTCTGAGTATACCTTAATGACTTGCGTTGAAAAAACAGGTACTTTAGGCAGTTATCTTTCTAATCACATTGCAACAACCGTCAACCGAGCAGTCGCATATCTTGTCTAGAAGGAGTTAATAAAAAAAGTTCTCATAAATGTCCATTTAAATATGTCATAGGAATTAGGTGTAATATATGTTATTTTATCATCGGCATTTTGTACAGATGTCTAAATATATATCATCTGTAGCGGCGAAATGATTATAGAGGATAAGCCTAATTAAGCAAATTAACGAATCAGATGGTATGAAATGATGGTCCATTAACTGTTTCCCTATCAAAGACAATAAAATCACATGAATACACGCTTCCATTCAGTAATACGAGATGGTATGCTTACAAATCCATACATCCATATATATATATATATATATATATATATATACACACACACTCACTTACAAGCATAGCATCAACGCAGCTACGACCTATATTACAAACTGTGTAGCTTCAAGCTACCGATTTAATGTGTTAATTTCCTAGGAACATGCATGCACGCATAGAGTGGAGACAGTGGATGCGAAACACGTTGAAAGGACCACAACAAGAAGGAGAAGAGAAAGACAACATGCACTACTCAAGCTATATATATATATATGTTCGAACCATTATTCTGAAAATGCAGACGAAGGAACAAGAGCAAACCGACGGGAAGCAAAATGTGGAAAGAGAAACGTCTTATATATATATCGATTAATTACAATTAGAGAGATCATACAATATTATATATATAAAATATTTTTTGCAAGCAAAAAACCCTAATGAGGTGTTTCTCATAACCAAGGAATCTTTATCTGATGAGGCACACTCTGACACATAGAGAAACATCTCAAAAGACAATACTAATAGTGGACAAACCTCGAACAAATGTAACCCGTGTTTCAAATCCCACTTACTATAAACGTTGGCACTTACCAAAAAAAAAAAATTTAACAAGAATGAAAACTCGATGCAAAGATCGATCAAAGGGGAAAAAAGGTTATAGACCCTAGAAGAGAAAACAAATGCATAATAATACACACTCGATAAAAACCAAAAGAAAAAAAAAAGAACCGAAGCTCACATGATATAGGTCTTGTCTTAAGAATGGTGACTCGTACTGGCGTCTTCTTGATTATCACCGTCATGGTGGTGGTTCGACGTCTCCGGCGCCATTGCCCGGCTGTAACCATTCAACGAACCGAGAAGCCTAAAATGGTTGCTATGTTCACCAGACGAGACGTTGGCTCCAAACCCTGGCTGAGCCACTGGCTGGCCGGAGAACAAAGCCAACGGCCCGGCGGCTAAGTTCATGAGATGGATTCCGGCGGTGTTGTACACGTCACCGCCGGCTCCTGAAGGGTTAAGATTGAAACCCCAGAGGTTGTGACTGTTGTTTTCGCTGCTGCTCCAAAACGACGCCGTCACGGGATTCTGACTCGCCGGAATGGAGCCACTCGTCGATGACTGCAAGAGATAGTTACCCATTTGGGTATCTAAAAACGGCGATGACGATGGCGATGGTAACTCGTTCTTGGGTCGAAGCTGTTGGCTGTTGAAATAGTAACTGGTCGGCGTTGTTCGGATTTGAGAGTTGGAGGAGAAGGATGACCTCGAGCTCCGGAGGGAGACGTTGAGGGAGGTGAAGTTCGCCGGAATAGTTCCGGTCCCGGTGGCAGCGATGACGGCGGGCTCCGCCTGCTGGATGGTTTCTCCGTCGGACTTATGGCCGAGCTCTCGCGTGAGCTGGAACACTCGGGCCGCGCACATCGCGGGCATCCGGATCCTCCGGCCACGACCCTCCACCTTCGTGTGTCGGTCCTTCGTCGAGGCCCGTTTCGGCGGCGGCTTCCTCACGGCGGAGACGACGGCGGCGGATGAGTCATCTTCGGCGGCGGCGGAGGAATGGTGTTGGTGGTTGGTGTCGAGGAGTTGGAGAGGGAAGTTGGGTCGATGGATCGGGTTATGATGGTGGTCTGGATCCATGATCATGTAAATACTTTTCTTTTGGTGTGGTGGTGGAGATGGAGATGGATAGTGGTGGGGATGTGTGTTAGATCTTTACGTGAGCATCGTTTCTCTCTCTAACTCTGTTTATTTAGAGAGAGAAAATGTAGATTTCCATTGAGATGGGAAGCTGAGCTGTTAGAAGTTTTGGGCATCGAGTTAAAGCAAATAAGCAATGAATATGAAAGCATGGACTTTTTCTCTACTCTACTGTTATCTCTTCTTTCGTAAAATACATATTCTCTCTAGATATTTTTCCTTTCCATTATTTTATGGGAGTTAAAAAAAAAAGAAGTTCGTATTTTTTTAGGTGGTAAGTAATAATTACACGTGTGTCGTAAAATGGCATTATCTGTAAGTAATAAGGCTTTAACTGTCGACATATCAATCGCGTAATTAATAGCAGAGTTATGGTCTCCAATACATATATTTGGCCCTTCCCATGCTCGAATTATTATTAGTTAGATATATATGATAGTATACATATATACAGGGAAAATAAATGAATAAATGTTTTTTGTATACAAATTTTTTATAGTGATCCAGTGAAGTGCACGCGATCCACATGATCAAATCCAACTGCTTTTTTTTTTTGATAATTTATTTCCTTATATATGCGTCGTGTATTTCATTATAAGTTTTAAAATAAAATTTCAAAATAAAGTCAATTATATATGCCTCATTTATAAAACTCTTGGGACAAAACATGGTTAGAGGCTTAGAGCTAGGACAAAAAAATTCCTAAAAACGTTTGTGCTATAATTTACTTAAAAAGGGAATTAATATGCTTTTTAATTAATCATTATAATTCTTTTAATTAGAGATTTATTATCGCACATCTGGTGGAACCTTTTTTACATTTTGTTTTTCAACACATTTGTGAGAGGACTAGAAATTAGTCAATCACACATTGTTTTTCTCATCATGAATTCTAGCTGCTTATTTGTAAATAAGGCGTGGTCATATTAATTAGATTCAAATTAACTATTACAGAAACTGGTTGAAATAAGGTCCAATTCAATTAAATAAACTTTATTGTTTTAATTCCTCTTCCATAATTTATATGAGCTAACAAATTTATGCTTTTTTATAATTTTAAATGTCATCCTATTTCAGTTTGAAAATTCCTCATCTAGTTAAGCTTTTTTTCCTATCTACATGTGTATATATATATATATATAAATAAAACCATTAACAAGAAAATTGAAAAGGAAGAACATGCATAAGTAGGACAAAATTTTGTCATAACTTTTTTTTTTTTGTGATAAAATCGTCGCAAGAGCATTCGGCCTATAGATATAACCCAACATCTTTAAATTACCTAAACCGGATTAGTACCAAAAACAATTTTTTATTAACTGATCAGTAAGCCTCATTCCCTATACAAGGTAATTAACGGATGACATTATTATATATATGATTATTACATTAATAAGAGAGGATGAAGAAGTGAAGATCGATGGTGAAATAGGGAGAGATGGACCGACGTCTCCCCACGTGCGGCGCTCTCTTTCTCATTCAGTCCCTCGAGGCAGGCTCTACGTGCCCCTCCCTCTCCTATTAATATACATATATATATATATATATACACACGTGTGTGTCAATTTGCATGACTTTAGGTTTTGATGAATTAGGTAAAAATCTTGTAAATTAGAAAGATTTGAGTTGAGGGATATATGAAATATTTCATATTCCCAACTATTTCTTTTTCTTGGTGATTGAATAGAAGATATAAACAATGAAGCCTATGTAGTGTAGCCGCCACTCCGAAATAAAAACTCAAAAGGATGGGAGCAACTTGACAATGGGATTCAAAATAATATATAATTTACAAAGTAATCGATAAGGAAACTATAATTTATATATATATATATATATATATAGGACGTATAAGCTTCTCACGACAATTGAAAAATCCGACAAAACATTTCTTTTTTGACAGAGAATCATCGTTTTAGGAATCGTTATGATTGATTTATTAGTATATACTTTTTTTATTATAACAATCTGGCCAAATATTTTTCGGTCAGTAGTTTACTTTTTTAATATCCGGAATACTATTCCCATTTTTATGACAAAATTTTAATTGTATAATACATTGTATAAAAATCCCGATATATTATTAATATATATATATATATATATATAGAGAGAGAGAGAGAGAGAGAGACAGAGAGAGAAGGAATGGGAAAAATAATTAAAAGAGGAAAAACAAAGTGGGCTCCCATCCCCACTCACCAGCAATGATTACCTCCTGCCTTTGCAGCTCCACCTTTGCCTTTTCTCATTTTTTCCTCCCCACCTTTTTTCCAATATTTTACTTTCTACCCCCTGTTTTCTATTATTTTCGAATTTTCTCTCAATTTTATGTGATCGCTCACCACCCCCATCCACTCCCCCCAATTTATGTACCTATATCATTAGATTTTCATCCCAAATTGGAGAGGGATCATTTCCAAATTGAAATCGTTACCATCTCGTCGCTAATGACCTAAATGATCCGTATTTCATGCGTATTATTTCGTAACTCATCATTTTAAAAGTTGGTGCAATTCATCATTAATTTGTCAATAAATTCATTGTCATTATTCCAAAAATCATTAGAAAATTTTTCCCCGCACATGCATATATACAAGAATAATCTATGGATAAATTTTGTCAAAAATCTGTTTTTCAAGAATAATCTATGGAATTTCCCTTTTATATGTACAATAAACCATAATGCTTTGGAAATAAAACTGTTATTTCCGAAACTATATATTTAAAAATATTTCTGGGGTAATATTAATTAGTATATAAGCTTGATTAAATAGACAAAGGGGCCGTCTCCAACGATTTTTAAGTATGCAGGACACTGCCATAACCCATGGTTTAGAAACCTGAATAATAATGTACTTTTTTTTTTTTTGAATTAAGGTGTACGTATAAGTGAATAATAAGTGCTCTTCTGACCATATAGATATTTTCTAAAAAAAAAAAATGTGATACATATGACACAAATATCGTTCGTTATATGTCTAATCTTGTCACACAGACAATTTAACATGGCTTTACATTATTAAAGCCGAACCTATCTACGGCACTGAATTTGATTTGATTGTTTAGAAGAAAACAAACGAAAACGAAGAAATTACCCTACCATGAGTAAGAAACAAGAAAACAGAAGCTGACTATATGTATTTATATATGCATTGAAAGGTTAGTACTACATATCAAATTTAGAGAGAGAGAGAGAGATAGAGAGAGAGAGTAACATTTGCCTGTAAAACCCATGTGACAATAGTCACTAAGTACAACTTACAAGGAGGCAGATTTGATTGAGAGAGAGAGAGAGAGAGAGAGAGAGAGAGAGAGAGAGAGAGCGAAGGGCTAAAGAGATCGAAAAAAATACAAAAAAGACGCACCCAAAATAGAAGAGAATCATAACGTATTAATGTTCAAACACTAATCACGGGGAAGAAACACAAAACAAATCCTTTTTTTGGTTGGAGCATTACCATATTTGATATCGACGATATTTAGGGGAAGAAAAAAACACAGAACAAAAAGACATGCATACAACAGAATCCAAGTTTAAAGGTGGCTTCGTCAACTCCATAGTTAAATTTTTTATAAAATTTTCCACGTCACCAAAGATACATTTGTATGTATATGCGTAAGTATATATATTCACTTATTGAGTGGTTCATGTCACTGGAACGGTTCTAAATCATTCTGAGGAAAGAGACCAGCAACATCAACGTTGTCTTCTCATAAACTGTCTCTACGGCTGGCGACATAATCACGTTGCACCCGGAACCCTAGCATTCATTATTCATCGTTTATGTTGGAACCTATCTCTTTATGACTCTGCATGCATACATATATATATACACATCTGTGTGCGTGTATGCATATTTTTGTGTATATATTAAATACACGCGTGTCTGTATGTACGTATATGTATCAATATATATACACGCGCGCGCACTGTAATCGCAATTCGATAGACTTATTCTAGTTATTTTATTTCTACAAGCACTGTAATAAGCTGAAAAACTTATTGAAATCACATGCATTTCTTGGATCTTATTGATGATATTAAAGTATTTATACAAGATCACAAAGATAATAACATGTAAGAGTAAATAATATTATAACAATTAAGAATCATTCGAAGACTTTGTATAATACAGAGTTTAGATTTGAGAATTAACCAAGTTTGACCGAGTTTCGTGACTTTTGATAATTTCCCAGGTAATGATAGTCGTTATCGCTTTTGAATTCATCATCATCTCCGTATATTGTCGTTATGTTTATTTTATGATCATCATGGTCCACGGTTATCATTATCAGACCAACTGATAAGATCAATCTTATATAAAAGGATATTAAAATATTTAGATAAATGTTGCTTACAAATTAGTGCAATCACACGGAACAGAACACTGGCACTTATGTCCCCATGTATATAGACTGCAGTATCCCTATATTGATATAACATGGAACATTGGTACTATTTTTCTTATCAGTATATATATGCGCACACATCTATATAACTATATATAAGAGGGGCAATTTCGATTCGGTTCAAATTCTTTTTTTCTATATAGTTTAAGTCCATTTAGATGGTGATATTAAAAAATCAATCTAGATTCCTATAGATTTTGGATTGATTCGTATTGGGCAACCTTTTTTATTTGACATCATAAGTTCTGTTTCCATTTTATTCACTTCATATATTTTTTGGCCTATTTCATAAGTAATTTAATTTATTTTAGATTTAAGCCTGTTGTAATAGAAAGAAATAGAAATAAAAACGAAGCAGATATAATGTTTTTTGGTTTGGTTCCATCGACTTTGTTATAGAATATTTTCCCATTTCTATCAAATATTTCAGTTATACAGCCACATATAGTTTAGTCAATATATACATGATTAAATATCATAGATATTTAGGGGTTTATCCACACAATTTAACAAAATTTTGGAAATGAAAATTAAGGGGAACAAGAGAGAAAGAGCAATATGTTTGAAGGAATGACAAGCTGGCTTTCGAGCCTTTGATATATCTAAATGCTTAAAAGGATTGACACATATGTATATTCGAATGGCACATTATATATACACATACACACGTGCATGTATATCATCACCAAAGAAGAAGAACTCTTCATTTCGATTCTGAATTCACAATCGATTATATTTTGTCGTTTTCCAATGACGAGCATAGACAGCAACATACATAAATTATACAATAATTTGTCCGACACATGTTATTATAGTCAGGAACTTTATTATATATTTTTTTTATCATTGCGTAAGTTTAGTTTGATTTGATTCGGTTTACAATATGAAAAGCTCTATATCTACTGATGTAAATTATTGAATAAATTCGAAATTCGATCCATTTTAAATGCACAAATTCAATCATTTTAATTAACGGTGACGTTTGCAAGGTCTATATATCTACACATCTTTTTTTACTGATTAAAAAGCTCGAGATATTCTTACGTCAACCTCTTGTATAAGTGGAAGGGATATTTTACCCTTTTCGTAAAATACTAAAAGACGACTGCATAAACTTATGGTAAAAAAAAAAAAGTTAAAAAAACCCTTACAAAATTTAAGGTTGTCCTTTTGGTCCTTCGGGAATTACCAGTTTACCCAATTGGGCGAAAAAGGTGACGTCATAGGGGGACAAGAACTGAAAAGTTTTAAAAAAAACACAGCACGTAAAAATCAAAGGAAATGATAATGAAACTTACAACCCCAGGTTTTTATATCCATAAATATATAATTTCCGTACCCTGGACTCGAAAAATTACGGAAAATGCCACGCAATGGGCATCGTGATTTCGAGGAAACCTCATGTCCTTTTCAGTCATTTCCTCTTTCTCTCTCTTGTTTTCGACGTCTATTTGACCCATTTGGTACGTACCCCCTCTCCTTTTTTCCCCTTCCACCGTAATAACTATTATTGTTATAGTATTATTTTGATTTTATATATGTACATGTATATATGAATTCCATTAAATTCGTGGTCACCACAAAGACCGTATCAACACCTGTGTCGGCAGTATTTGACAAAGTAAGATTGCTTAATTTGCGATCTATCTATCTATCTATGTATGTGTGCGTATAGATTTGTACGCTTGCGTACTTACACGTGGCGGTGAAAGAGCAATTTGTTGCGTATTTGTAGACGTATGTATTTGTCAAAAGCTATGTGGGGGGAGGACTAAGGAGTCGTTATCAATACCCACGTCACTCTCCGGCGGCAACTGGGTTCCCCAACTCCATATCAATCCACTAGGGCTGACGTCATCCACTCAAATCATTCGTTTTCTCGAGCAACCCTTCTACGACTTTGTATGCTTCCGTATCAATAATGCCTGCAACATATACAGTATCGTTTTTTTTTTTGGTTTGGAAGAGAGAGAGAGGGAGAGCGCACTATGGAAAAATGCAGATGGTTGATTAGTGATGGAGAAAGCGACACATGAAAGCGGGAGATTATTAGAGTTTCCTGCAGTTTCTGCTTTGGTCGTGTTCTTATAGCATAACACACACAGACAGACATATAATGTACGTATGTATGTACTGTACGTACGTACGCACGTATGTATATATGTATCACTTTGGTCGTGTTCTTGCAATGGCCAGTTTACCCCTCGACCAAAGATTCGCCCTCCAACGACAATACCGCTTTTGGGTTGCAAGAGAGACTTAAATGGGCCTGGATCTGTTCACTTTGGGCCTGACTTCTCTATCATATCGAAGCAGAAGAGCCCAAACAGTGGCAGCCACGGTTCCTGGCTAACCCTACCGATCGATTAAAGAGAGGATAGAGTCTCTTATCGAACGAGAAGGGATCGTACGGAGAGTAAACTATACCCGATATCTTGCCCAAGTCGAAACCCTAGGGAAATTTTGCTTGTACAGTAAGTAACCGAATCTGTGTTTTCAGACAATGTAGAGGACAGCGAGTTTATCCTCTGAATCAAACCGTTTCTGATTCAATTGGAAGTAGGGGTGAGTTTTTTTGTTCTTTATACAAAAATTAACATTATACACTTGATGTTCAATTCGAACCAACAAAAATTTGCATTTTTTCATAGGTTTGGTATCTGCAGATATCAACCATCAGTCGCGGGTATCCGAGCCACGGATACCCGAGTTTTGCAAAGGCGGCACCGAGATGCTTCGGTCATAAAAAACCGTGGCGTGAGATGAAAACTAAAGGTCGAATATCCTAAAATTCGGGTAGCTGATCCGCATCCACCTCTGCCAAATGTTTAGTTGGTTTTGCCGGAGAAAAAAGACATTTGGAGAGATTTTGTCGTCATATGATTTGTATTCAAGGTTTTGTCCTAAAGGCTCTTATGATGTGAATGGCTCATGAAAACTGAAAACGACTTTGGTGTTTCAGAAACGAATAGGATGTTTTTGGACAACCATGCATGTTTAGTCACCGGTTCTTATAAGGCCACGCCCTTTTGTTAACTTTTGCTTGTGGTTCACATGGTTCGGTCTCTGGTGGGCCCCTCGAAATTGACCACGATGTCGTTATGGTTCGCCCACTTGGTTAATTCCCGATTGGGTCTGTTCTCTGACATTCGAGTCACTGAATTTACTGCAAAAACTCTCTCTCTCTCTCTCTCTTGTCTGTTCTTGGGAATGATTGTTTCTTTTTTGTTCTTTCCATCAGACAATGGATTTCGAATGATTAGTTTCGTGTCTAATTAGGTAACCAGAAACACAGAATGTTTTCTTGTCTGAAAGACAGAAAACTCCATAGTCTTTTGAATTCTATCGCAAAAGCTGTAGGGTTTAAAGATATATGTTACTACGTACAATTTTACGTGAAAATTGGAATCTATCTGCATATATATAATAAGCAACAAATGCTGTGTTCTTAATGTGAAAAGGAGGTAACATTGATTCTTAAACTCTTACAAACATAACAAACGGAGAAGTAGATGGATCTCATTGAATGTTCATACGATGTGAAGCGTGCGGACTGAAGAATCGAGGACTTGCAGTGATCATGCCTTTTCTTGATTCCGAGACGTTCATCTCAGGTTCGGCTCTGAGCCTTTCCTTGTGTTCCGAGGAATAAGAACAGTTTCTCCAGATAAGATCGCGGTCAAGACGCGGGCTCACGATTCTGTACGAATCTCCGGCAACTCCTGAAGATTTCTTCCTGTCCACGCAACAGGACAGAACTGAACTGGATTGTTTCGGTTCTAACTTGGCTTTGCTCATCAGAATGTTCTTGTAGATTTCTTCACTGTAATCTGATGGTGCGACCGGGAATTCCGCAGCACTTGCGGTCACTACGCTCCACTCTACGCTGGCCTCGCTTGGCGGGTGAGGAGGCGACTCCACTACGTATGTGCCTTGCGTCGCAAGAAAGGTCTTTTCCTTTGCCTCGCCCGTCAAGCTTCCGATCTCGAATAGCTCAGAACTCTGGTCGCTATCGCTTTCTTGGCCTGTTCTAGGGTTGATCGAGGATGTGTTTCTTTTCTGCAACACAGGTGAACCGAAAACTTCGAGAGATTCTCTCGGTATTTCTGCTTCCTCTTTTCGGATTAGTGTTCTTGGAAGGGGATTCATGGTGGAGAAGCTGAAAAATTCGTCTGCAGAGCTCGAAATAGATCGATGAGGCAAACCCGAAAACCGACCAGGAGGTCTTGTTTCTCTGGCGTTCTCATCGACATCAGAAGAGTTGCCGTCAAGACAAGAACATTTACACTTAATGCCGAGACTGGAGAGAAAAGATTTGGACTTGTTCTTTCCACTGGTACGAGTGGACGAGTCGTGTTTCCTCAAAGCGGTGTCCTGGTGAAGCAAAGCGCTTCTGCTGTACCAACTCGACTCGGAAGCAACACTGGCTGTCGGATCGGAACAGATCCCGAGATCTCTGGAGAGACCGTGGATGGTCGGAGGGATCGTGACCGTCGATGTCGTGCTGTCGACTTCGCCGCTAAAGTACTTCTCGGCTGCGAACACTCCGATCTCCCCATCTGTGGCTGACGAAACCTTCTTGTCCTGATCCTGAGAATGTCTTCCACTGTTATGTCCCCTTCTGCTTTCGCAGGAGACAGCTCTGAGGAAGTCGTCGTCTTGGGAAGAAGACGCCCCTGACTTCATCGATACATACGTATCTATCTACTTGGATCTCTCTCTCTCCGTAGATTTATTCAGACATATAAATAAGATGGTACTTTTTAAAACAATTTATACAAAATGGTTGCACTTTTAATTATCTGAAAAGATTTTTCAGTAAAATAAAAATATAAAATCATGAATTGGTCAGTCACCGTCCTTGGCTTTTATTTCTTACTGCCAACATATTCAATGAGCCAACTGTGTACGAAAAGGACATTATAGTTGTAATGATAATATCATGTCTATATGTCCACAAAATTTCATCTACAAAGATTAAACCCCTGGCTCGACAAAACAAAAATCTAACAAAATTTTATCAATAATAATAATCATAAATAATAAAATAGTTTCATAATTTTTTTTAAAGACAGATTGCATCTCAAAAGGTTTCCTCTCAACCCTGTATAAATCATGGTTTCATCTGATAAAACAAAAACCCTCCTCCGGTCGCCGGAAAATCTTCAGTTTGCCGACGATGGAGTGACGATGGAGTTTCCTCCGATAGCCGGAAATCCTTCAGTTTGCTGACGTGGAGTTTCCTCCGGCGACCCAATACTGCTTCACGGCGATCAGAACCTTCTCGGGGACTAAAGGACCGTCCTCATGATCGACCAGCTTCGAGTCCCATCTCATCCCGCCTATCATCTTCTTCACCTTCACCAAAACATCGACCTCGTCCCGGATTATTACCGCCCCTTCCGGGCGTAGAATCCGATCCATCTCCACGAGAATGTCTCCCATGTCGCACCTAGGGTTTCGATCAGATTCGTTTAACAAGATTCAGACATGATAAGCAAAAGAAACTGAGAGAGTGAACTTAAAAAAAGGAGAGATCTTTTACTTGTCTTTGTACAGACTGAAGAGATGGTTTGCGTGGATCAGGTCGTATGTTCTTGGGTACGTCGACAAAGCCTCGCACCTGACAGACATGAAAACCGTATTCAGAAGCTCCGAAACCCTAATTTCTCGGTGAAGAAAGGAGATACCAGAGAGGGAAACTTTACCAGTCGTGGTAAATGCCGATGAGTCCTCGCTCGTATATAACGCCGAGCGTGTTTTTCTCGGCAATCGTGGGCACTACGTTCATCGTCCAGAGCTTTGGGGACTCGATAGCTGCTGCGAATCCGCCGAAACCCGCGTTCATATCCATTATATTTCGGTATCTTCCAGTGTCGAGGAGACTGTTGATTCTCTTGTACGCTTTTACATGCTTTCTCCATTCACGGCTGTCCTCTTGGTATGCCTCGACAGAGATTCCCGGGATGGAACCGCTCGAGATTCTTGGAGGCACCGAGTTGAGCCTCTCAGGGAAAACCTTCAGTTTGCCCCCGGCAACCTCGTCTGGATTGCTTACCATTGGATACGGAGTGATGCAACCCTCCATTTTCTTGTACCTAGGATCAGAGAATTTGTTGAAATACAAATTTTGTGAACATTTCGATTATCCTGGACGAGTTCTTGGAAATATTTTGGCTTAAAAACAAAACGGAACAACCTCAAAAGCAAGATAGAGAACAGAGTTCCATACCAGACATCATCAGGGTCATCGGTTTTGCAGAAATTTGCTCGAGGGTCGTCTTGTCTTGAACGGCACGACTCGTCGTTAACTCTCTTTTGCCAAACGGCGATCTCGCCATGTTCGTACTTCTTCTCCCAACAAAGAAGTTTGGCAATCTCCTCGATCTTTCGTTGTTCCTCCTGAAGCTCATCCTCGGGGCGCTGCCATGCCTTGTAGTTGGTCTTCCAGTTAATGGGCGGACCAGAGAGCACCCAATAACCGCCCGGTCTAAGGACACGGTCGACTTCCATCAAGTACATCCCGTCTGCAAAAACACAAAACAATATTGTTTAACTTCCAAACTCGAGCAGATCAGTGGAACCAAACTATTTGTAGACACCTAAAACGGTAGTTTTAGCCGATTTTGGTAAGTAGAAAGAAACACCTTATTCTAAATCAGTAGTTTCCCAAGTGTCGGGAATCGGCATCTCGAGGGCAAGAAATCCCTTCGAGTTCCGAGCCACTTAGATCCCGTCTGCCAAAGTCGGCTAAAACTACCGTTTTAGAAAATTGAAATAATCAAAACCAAAACAACAATTATTACCGCAGAATTTGCAAAAAAAGATCCCAAAACGGCAGTTTTAGCCGATTTAGAGAATTATCCTCACCATTTGCGCCCCATGGAATCAGGCATCGAGAGCAGTGAGCCATGTCGAAAGATCTCGAAGGGTATGGCAATTTTATGGTACCGAGAACACCGATAACAGCGGGAACACCCCTCTCGAGAGCAAATTGTACTTGCGCTTCATGGGAATCTCTCGGTGCAAAAGACATAGCGACGACATTTCTGCTCCATAAGTATGCACCCCAACTAGCAACCTGAAAAGAAATTTTGAATTGGATTTCACCATTTAAGGAATCATGTTTAAGAAAAAAATATAAAGGTTATCCGAGAAGAACATACCCCACAACCAGTGTCCAATGCTGTCCTAACCGTTCCATTGCCCATCGGTATCACAGACGCGAGCTGATCAATATATTTATCCGCACCTTGGGGGAACTGAGTTCCACCACCAGGGAATCTGAATACATTCCCCTCGTACTGAATCCAATTCTGAATAGCCTTCTCCACTGTCAAGGCCTTGTACGGTGCATTTGCGTAGGGCACATAGTCACGACTCTTGGGCCATGGGAACGGAGTCACGTACCCGTTGGGAGCCGGTATCAGGCAATGAAGCTTCTCTTCCTCGGGTGGGCAATGCCTTTCTCGATAAATCATGTTTTCCCTCGGGAAAGTCATGGCCCGCCTTTGGTCTTGGCAGGGAGTGTAATCGGTGAAACGGGCATCACATGGCTCGAAAGCCTCAGGCTTTGATGATTCATCGACGGTCAAATCGCCAGAGTGATGAGTCTCGAAACTCAAGCTGGGAACCAAGTTGCAATCTATTCCACTCTTCGTCATCTCCAGAGCAATACTGTCTCCTTTACCGAACCCGCTCCGTTGCCATGCACCCAGAATGTAGAAAAAGCAGCACAACCCGACAACGATAAAGATCTGTACAGAGCTCCGGGTTTTATTATCAACAGAACTGGATTTCAACGCCATGAATAACCTGAAGTCATCATATCAACCAAGATCAGCTCCAAATCAATGGTAGAGGACAAAACGAAGAAAGATCCAGATCACAGGTATCAGGTACTAGCCGATGAAATCAACAAATGGGCACTGGCAAAACCCAGAAAAGTATGAATCTTTATATTTAGTAGCACACTAGAAATTACAACTTAATATATCACCAATCGGGACCGGGACCGGGACCGGACCCAGACATAACTGATGGATCAAGACAATGATATGAAGACATGCTAAAACAAAAGTTGAAACTAGAACAGCAGACTTATGCCATCTTTGTATATATATATATATATGAAACATGATAAAATAATCGCGTTTATCTTTGGGAAGAAGCGACTGATCTTAACGTAATTAACAAAGATCCATCACACATGTGAACATAAATGACGTGAACCTCAAAAGATCCAGCAAGCTCTGTGATCCTACTCTATTACTAGGCTATTTATTGCGGGAAAAGTTAACAAATCTGGTAACAAAAACGGAATTTAATGACAATTGTCCACGGATCCGACCAAAAGGTAGGAGTAGATTTGCCGAGCGAATCAAACAGATCGCTTGCCGATTAGAATGGAAAGTGAGAGGACGAACCAGGGTGGTCGCACGCGACAAATGGCTGATCAGACGCGGAAATACGGAGACTTGGAGAGTTGCTGTCGGTGGGGATGATGATGACAGAGACGAAAGAGATCGAATCGAGACGTGTGAGGTCAATTTCTTACAAAAAGAGAAAAAAGAAACCCTAATTTGTGTGAATCGCCATCACCACGGCCACCATGGACGGATGTAGAAAGGAACAGAGAACTAAATTAGAGAGGGGAAAGGACGGAGATTTTAGATGTGCTTCTCAGAAACAGAGCCAAAGGCGGAGACTTATAGCGAAATGGAACTATGCAGAAATCAAATCTACGTCTAATTTTTCTTTTTCTTTTTTACATTTTAAACATTTTTTTAATTAAATGATCATTGTCAAATACAATGCGCTGCTTTCACTTCACAAGTGTCTTTCCGCGTTAAAAAACAGAGAGATCCTTGGCCAATTGGATATTTGTTCTATGGTTTGGTATATTTCAACTTTCAATTACAATACATGACCATCAACATATATACATACATACATACAGGAAGAAATGAAAACTAATTGATAAACGATATCTCATCTTTTCTATACGTAGGCAAAGGTTACTTTGCTGGATTTTGCCTGAATGGATCCGACAACCCTTAAATCTTAGACCCAATGTTCAAGTAGCCCTTACATCATCGTTGGTGTCCTTAAAACCGGCATGAGAAGACAGACATGTCTTCAACAGGTTCAAAATATGTATTATACATAAACCCAAACAATAGAAACCATCTCATGACTTCAATTCAACATCAAACGAAAACTCAGCCATTTAAAACTAAATCCAAGACAAAACTGAAGTAATACAGCTGAATTGTCGACAGAGTCAGACCAAAAGGGTCATACAAAGCATGACTGAGACAGCCCTATCATTTAGAACATAACCCATTGAGAGAGAGAGAGAGAGAGACAAACTATTTCATCTGGGGTATTGTTAAATAGATTGGCTTAACTCTTGGCTGCTAGCTTCTCCTTGGCCTTTTGGAGTTTCAACACCTTCTTCACAATCTTTTGCTCTTCAACGAGGAATGCCCGAATGATCCTGGAGGGAACGAAAAGAAACCCGATGAGTTCAACGAATTCTCTAATTCAGCTAAAGTGGTAGAAACTTAGTGAAATAAAGCTCAAGCACAAACCTTTCCCTTACAGCAGAACCGGACAAGACTCCACCATATGCCCGGTTGACTGTCCTTCTGTTTCTAGACAATCTAGACCTCTTGTATTCAACAGGCCTTAGATGAGGGATCTATACGAACAACGGGTCAAGAGTAGGTTAAATTAGAATAGATATAAAAAGGCAAACACCTAGAGACAAAAAAAACGCAAAGTTTTGAAAATGGGAGTTTATGCCACAAGTGGATGGCAATCCCTCACATATCAGAGGGAAAACTTGGAAGAAGCTGTGTGGCAAATAGATGTAGCTTATGATTATGTTATGTACTGATGGAGAGTTCATCTAATCAGCACAAGACCGTCAATAAGCACAAGAACAGAATCAGAATAGGAACAACAACATCAAAAGGAATTCTGCCTCTGATAACGATACACGTTTAATAACAGCAAGGAGTCTTCCAAACAGTAAGAGAAATACATATGAAAGGTAATGACTTTTCCAGTGACAGGCTAACATTTAAACAAGATTTCAAATATTGCAAAGAAAAACATTGATCTGTCAAACGGCACTAGGACGCATCAAAATCAAACACCCCAAACTAAGGGAATCTAAGAACAGTCTAATTTCTACACTTCCTTATACGTCAAGACAAATCTGCCTCAATATATAGAAATGCAAGCAGATTCAACACAATCTCAGCTTTAACCAGAACAACATATAAACAGACCTATAAGCGCATCCCAGTCTCACCAACATCCAAATCATACAAAAATCAAAGAAGATATACAAAAAAAGCATAATCCAAAATACAGAAAACTTACACCCTGAATCCGCTTGCCGGTGACAGGACATTTCGGGCCGCTGGCTCTCTTTTTCGTGGTTTGATATACCAGCTTCCCTCCTGCAAACGACCCAAATCAACTGTCAACACATACAAAGAAACAAATATACAAACACATACAGAGCTAGAGATATAGTGAGAGAGCGAATGAAGAAGAAGGATAGACGGACCGGGGGTCTTGACGACACGGTGCTGGTTCGATTTAGTGGCATAGCTGTGCCGCGTCCGGTAAACAAGCCGCTGCACCATTTCTGCTGCTATTCGTCTTCTCAGTCAGGGTTTATTGACTCGAGGAGGGAGGAAGGCTATCTAAACCTAACTATGTATAAAAGGGTATTCAAAGAATCATGTGCCCTAGATCCAACGGCTGAAATGTACTTCACGATATATCAATCAACGGTAGATAACTCCATTCTTTTCTCATTGGGCTTTACGGGCTTATATAACGGCCCATTTTCATTTTCACTTTATGACGAGAGCAGTCCAGTAACATGGTATTCAGGACGAGGTGAATTAAAGCTAAAAGACTGTCAATTACTATTCAGTTTGCACGTTGAATTTTATTCGGTTTTATTTTGTTCGATTCGATTTTTTTTAGTAAAAATACTAATTTTCCAACAAACAAAAAAACTTTCAGTCTTTAAATTTCCTTTTTTTTTAATTTGGATCGATTTATTTGATTTTAAAAAATAATAACCATTCATGTTTGATATGAGATCGGATCCAATTATAATTATGAATTATTCTAATCAGATGGATTAAGTTAATAATCAAATTGATCATCTCCAATTAGAACAATGATTAAGCTTATGAAAAGGTAAACAACGCTTAACCTTATGAGAGCTTGAATCAATCCATTCCTCTACTTGGAAAAAAAAGGCACATTCTTCTCCAATCAACACATTAATTTTTTAAAACACGTTTTTTTTTGGGGGGGAAGGGGGAGATAGATACAGTAACATTACATAAAGAAAGCATATACAGAGAGAGCAATGTCAAATTCATTAAGCACAGATGGGCGAGGGGAGGACTCACCTCTCTCCTCGTACCGCCGAGGCTGGCTAGCTCGGGGCTTTGGACCCATCAGCCGGACTTCCACAAAAGACAGAGACAGGAGATTCAAACGGTCTCGTGGTGGGGATTCTCCGCCATTGACGGCGGCCCCGTTGCTATCGTGAACTGAACTCCCCTTCTCTGCCCTCTTCTCAACACATACGCCACTTGTCTTGCCACTGCCGCCGCTTCCTGCATTTTTTTTAACCTCTATGGAATCAACCATGCCAAATTCTATAATTTTTATCAATAAAAACTGAACCTCAACCGAATTCAATATAAAAAAAAATCAATCGGTTATAGTTTTTTTTTTTAAAACTGAAATCACCGAACTGAAACTCGGAATGGTCGCCGCCCGAGGATAAGAGGGATATTTATGTGTTACCTGTCTTTGTCTGCGGCGTTGCAGGATACTGATGGCCCAAGCCATGATGTAGCATGGGAGCAGGAACCCAGCAGCTCTTAGCAGGAAAAGCTGTAAAAAAAAGAAGAGAGATTCACAATTGTAATTAAACACAAACAGATATGCAAATGCATGAGAGAGACTTTGATTCATCCTGCAAAAAATTGGAGTTCCCACTTACAGAGAAGAATGTGGATATGTCATCGTCTTCTTCGTCACCACCACCACCACCATCTGTGACTGTCATTGCATGGCGCAACAGCAAAAGCGCCATCAGCTACATTATTAAAAAAAAAAAAAGAACCCAATTCAATACACAAGGAAATCTACACTTCTGGTGATAATAAACATACTGCTCGAAAAACAAAAGTCTGAAATTGAGAATGACTATTGTATAAGGCATGATTTCTCGGAGAGCAAACTCTTCTTATTGAGATTGTTCCATGGTGGCATAGCTCGGGGGAAGGCTTACAATAAGAGCAGCTGAGCGGCAAAAAGCAGCTCCACTTGCATTTGAAGCAGCGTAGTCGTCATAATCAGCTTCCAAAATCTGACGTTCTGCGTCTGCAATGGCAAAGAGGCGAGGATCGGGCAGATCCAGGGGAGTGTCTGATATCGTCCAGCCTCTGCTACCACACAAAGGAAACACACATCAGTACCAACGTCCAAATCCTCAAACAAATAACAGAGAACATGAAATAGATGCAATAGGAAATTTTTTTACTTACCTAACATCAATGGTGGTTTCCTCGGGCTGAGGGCGAGGAGGTGGGGCAGTATAACCAGGCTGGTAAGGCTGTGCACAAGACAATAAATGCGAAGGCCAAGAAATGTTAGTAGCAACTCCATAGACAAGGAACAAGATCAAAGCCATACTATTCCTACATGATTCATCGGCAATAGCGTCTAACAGCAAGCATAAATTTGGAGAAGCATCAAAAGCATGGAATTTTAGCAAGCCATAAACCTCTTTTGTGGTCAGTGTCAAGTAATTTGTTCCGCAAAAGCGTATAGATAAATTTACCTGATGGCAAATCTCGCAAATAATGTCGCCTTTCTCGTTACACCAATGCTGAACACATTTCCTGTGAGCATACTGTGGAAAACATATATTCAATCAATAATGAACTGTTTAGTACACATACATGGAAAGAACACAAATTTCCGGTGATGATAATGGAGTCCTTGGGTATAATAATTAGTCCTACAAGCAAGACTAATCGAACAAAACCATCAAGACTCCATGAAATCCTGCAACATAGCAGAAGTTGTGGACAAACATGCAATGACAAGGCCTAATTTCCTCAGAATCAAATACCTAAACACGGATGCTAACAATGGTCTGTGTATTTTCCTTGCAAGCTTCCAAAAACTTTAAAAAACTAAATCAGAGACCCATAAATTGCTATAATGTGGATATAAACAGCGAATATTCATGCATATATGTATGTACCTTGAGGCTTCCGCTGCAGCCACAGGGGCTCTCCAGATTCTTAAGAGAGTCCTCCTCCTGACAAATGCGGCACTCCGCCGATTGAATCAGAGGCTCCTCCTCTCCGCCTTCGTCGACCCTCTTCTCCGGCGAGGCCGAGCTCGACGGCCCGGCGGCGTCCGGCCTCTCCGTCTCCGCCTGGACCGGATTCGCCGGTACCGGCCTCACCATCCGATCCACGTACACCACCAAATGATCGCTCATTCTTACCTAAATCAACTTTCGTAAACTTGTTCTTCGTAGGCGAAAATTCCAAGAACTGGAACCAAAACCTGAGCATTCACCGCACATCAATAAAAATAGCAAACCTGAATTGAGATCATCAGACTCGAAAGACGATGACCAAGAGAAATTCGGAAAGAAAATTCGTCAAGATCTGGGTAAGATGGAAACGATTTTACCTGGAAAATGGCGAGAGAATCTTGAAGCGTCTATGACCCTTTTTCCCCCTCTCTATTTGTTCTTACACCCGTCGTCGGAACGCGTTTTTGCTAAATTTTCTAGGATTTCCCGAGAATCGAGCCCATTTAAATATACAAATCTCCATTTATTCTTCACGCATTTTAATATCACCATTTATCTTATAAAGTTTTTTTTTTCAAAAATGTTTTTCCATTGGTTATTATTTAGAACAAATACTTTCACATCTCCCGTATTTATAGAAAAAATAATAATTTGCAGAGGAAATTTTCGATAATAAAAACGCGACAAGACGAAAATGGGCCAATAAGCCCAAAAGCTTTGCCGATAAGGGCTGCAGTGCCACGTATGCACGTTAAGCAAAATATCAGATACTTTTGGATCTGAGTGGCTGCGAGAAATTGCTAATGCCACACCATATTCTATTCGCAATTCCAACACTACCCTTCACCTCACCGTTCCAATTTCCATCTTATTATATTTAAAGGAGAAGACTGACGTAGGGGCTAATTTCGGAATTCTACTAAAAACCAATTTGGCAATAGCAAAAAAAAAAAACAAATGGATTTGACGGTTCACCGGTATTAGAAATTTAGAATACAAAGTATCTGCAGCGAAAACTTTCCAGATGATTCCACTACCTTCAACTCTTAAAACCCAGAAAACTCTAAATCCCATCTTCATATCCAAAAAATAACCAAGAACAGAAGAGTTTTGGGAATCTCTGCCTCTTCATCCGCCATGGAAGCAGAACCTGGTCCGCAGCAAGCAGAGACACCCTCTGTTCTCGAAGGTGTTTTCAGGAACAGAGACCTCTTTCTCTTCATGCCCTTCGTCTTAGGATTCTCCGAGCGACAGACCCACCAGATCCCCAACCCAGAATCGCCGGAAAGCAACGGCGGCGGTGATCCTCCGTCGCCTGAGAGAGTGATCCTGGTCAACCCCTTCACGCAAGGGATGGTCGTTCTCGAGGGATCGCGGGGCTTGGATCCCCTGCTTCGCACCCTACTCGGAAACCGGAAAGATGGTCGTCCTCCGGCGTCCAAGGCCTCCGTCGACGCGATGCCGACCGTCGAGATGGAATCCGGCGGTGGAGAGTGCGTGATCTGTCTGGATGAATTGACTGCGGGCGAGACGGCGAAGGAGATGCCGTGTAAGCATAGGTTTCACGGCGAGTGCATAGAAAAGTGGTTGGGGCTTCATGGGTCGTGCCCTGTTTGCAGGTATGAGATGCCTGTTGACGAAGAAGATCTCTCGAAGAAGAGAGACGATGGAAATGGGCGTCGGAGAGAGATTTGGGTTAGGTTTAGCTTCAACGACGGCGGTCGGAGAAGCCGAGATTCCGACCGTGACGGCGGGGGTGACAGCGGTGATCACAGTGATTCCGGAGACAGAACTGTCCTGGGATCAGATAATTAGTTGGGTTTTTTTTGTACAAAACCTCTGCAACCTGGGATCAGATAATTAGTTGGGTTTTTTTTTGTACAAAACCTCTGCAAATTCTTTGTCTTTGTAGTTCTTTGTAAAGGCCGATCATTTACACTTTTGTGGTATGTGTGTTTCTTGGGGTGTTATTACATGAATCTTGGTGTTTTTTCCTTCCTGATTTTTGTCAAAGGATCCTTTTTTTTTTAATTAAATTATCGAATTCCTGTAAAGAATTCTGCTTCAAATGGAAGAACGTTCAATGAGAATGAGAAACATCCAAAGAAGAACAGAGAAAAATCCTCCCCCGATTCTCTCCGAAACATTTTGTGATTTCGCTTCGACATTAATAAATTTGCGAATTCAAAGCTGTTGGGCTATGTTGGGCTGTTAATGGGCCATAGAGGAGCAATGAAAAATGTCGTTATTGGGCCGCTTTTTAATTTGCTCTAGAAAAACCCATATATCCATATCACCACCCTCCAATATTATAAATAGAGAAAATGACATTTTTATTTTTCTACACCGACTTTATAAAATAATGATCTTTTCATACAAAATTTTTAATTTGACAAAAAACTACACCAAATTATCAAATGTGTCAAATTGATACACGAACTATCCAATTTAACTACAATTTCCTACACAATCCGAAAACGGTGTTAAGTGTCTGTTAAATGCTGACGTGGCATGCCACGTGGCAGCTGATGTGGCATGCCACATAGATTTTTTGCCACATCAGCATGCCACGTCGGATTTTTAAAAAAAAATCCGAAAAATGTGAAAAAAATCGATTTTTTTTTTTTTAAAAAAAAAATAAACAGCAAAATATATATATACATATATATTCATATCTATATACAAATAAAAATATAAATATAT